TATATATATATATATATATATTATCATGGAATGCAAGCCACATACGCCAGGGAGAACTAATCGACCACTTCTCCCCATCCTCCCACATTAATCTGCTTTCTTTTTGCTTTTCTGTTATGTTGCGTAATTCCATTACAGCACACGCAACCCAGAGTTAAACCTCAACCATGCTCCTGCCGCGCTGGAGGCCTCCGTCCATCACACCACCCACCTCGTTGATGCATTGGAAACACCCCTCTCATCCAATCAACACAATCAGCAAGACCCGGGTGAATGAGCGCCCGCTCGCGCACACGCAAAATAACACTAATAATGAAAAGCATGCTTAAGGCCGCTGTTACCATCTCCAATTCCCCTCTGTTTCCTCCTCCCCTCATCGGTGATTTGGGGAGAGGATGGTGAAGCAGCATGCGTACGGTATCATTTTCCTTACAGAGTAATAGACGGCTTCTCGGGGTACGTGCAGCCGCTGTGCTGAATCACCGTCTGTGCGGCGTAGTGACCGGCATCGCAGCAGCACTTTAGATCGCGCCCAAGGGCGTAGGCTGCCAGAAAGCCGCCCACAAAGGCGTCGCCGGCGCCGTTGAGGTCAACCATCTTGGCAGTGTCCAGCGGCGGCACCGGCACCTCCAACACTTCGTCCTTCGTGGCGCAAACAGTGGCGTGGGCGCCCTGAGTAATGACGATTAAGCGGTTCTTGGTACCTGAGTACGGCAGCTCCTGCAGCGCCCGCCTTGTGATGTCTGGGACATTGTGTGCGTCCCATTTCTTTACCTTGGCGAGTGTATGTGCCTCCACCTCGTTGGCGAAGATGACGTCGACGTACGGAAGCACCTGATTGAACTGTTCCCCGAAGAACTCAATAAGGAATGGGGCGGATAGGTTCATCATAAAGATGCCGTCCACCGCCCGCGCCTTCTGAGCAACATGCAGAACGTAGTTAACATTAACAGTTAGTGTGAAGCTGGTAAGGTAGAACAGCTTCGCCTCTTCCAGGTGCTTCTGCACCTCGGCAGAATGCATGTGCTCTTCCGAGAGGTGGTTCGCAGCGGCGAGGTTGGCGACAAGCGACCTCTCCTTCCCCGTGATGCAGACGGCACAGCTGCCCGTTGGCTCCTTCTTTGTGTACTCGAGCACCATAGTGACACCATCTGCCTCCGCGGACTCCTTCAGGATTTTACCGTAGCGGTCATCGGCGGCACAGCCAACGTACATGGAAAAGGAGCCCTTCGGTGCCTGCAGGATCCACTGCGCCACGCGCGCCGTGTTGAGGCCGGAGCCACCAGGGACGTACTTGACATCCGGCTTCTTCTCAAGCTCCTCAAAGATGCCCTGCTGCTCATTCCCCATCAGAATGGCGACGGCACGCCCCACACTGTACTTCGTCATGAGATCCTCAGTGACCACAGCCGAGATGTCAAGCAGTGGATTGCACTGCACGTAGAGCTTCATTGGGGGCAACATACCTGCCAATATATACTTCTTTTTTGTTCTTCTTCTTCTTTGTGCGCGTGTATTCGCGCGTTAGATAAGATTAATACAGGGACAAGAATAACCTGAATCATATCACACACGTTCGCACGCCCGCAGATGCAGACACAGCAGCAGAACACAAGTGCATAAAACCCACCAATTGCAATACAAAGATGACAAAAAAAAAAGGATGTCCGTGAGAAACGGCTACACCACTGGAAAAGACAAAGATGAGAAAGATAGAGCCTAACACTGGCAGCTTTCCTTTTTTTTTTGGGGGGGGGGGGGGGGGTCTGAAGCATAGCCACCATGTAAATCTCCTTCCATTGCGTCCACGCAAATTCAAATCCTACTCACCCTTACTTATGCGCTCGGCGAACTCATCGACGGTGCGCCGGAGGCCCTCCGCAAGCCGCACGACGGGTGCCCAGCCAAGCACACGGCTCGCCTTGGTGATGTCTGGGCGCCGCTGCTTCGGGTCGTCTGCCGCAGGCGGCAGGAACACAATCTGTGACTTGGTGCCAGGCACCATGTCCCGCGCCACCTGCGCCATCTCTAGCACCGTGTGCTCGTCGGGGTTGCCAAGGTTCACGGGCCCAATCTCGGTAGGGTGCTGAATCAAACGAAAGAAACCTTCCACGAGGTCGTCACAGTACTGAAACGAACGAGTGTACTCGCCTGTCCCGTACACTGTGATATCGTTACCCCTAAGCGCCTGAACAAGGAAGTTGCTTATGATTCGCCCATCATTAAAACACATGCGTGGGCCATATGTATTGAAAATACGGGCGACGCGGATCTTTACCCCGTGCTTCCGGTGGAAATCAAAGCACAACGACTCTGCGCATCGCTTTCCCTCATCGTAACAGCTGCGTATGCCAGTGCAGTTCACGTTTCCCCAATATTCTTCGGTTTGTGGATGCTGCAGCGGGTCGCCGTACACCTCTGAAGTGGACCCGATGAGCACCGGGCAGTCGTCTCGCTGTGCCAGCAGCAGGGAGTGGTATGTCCCGTTCACGCAGGTGAGTGTTGTGCCGATGCAATCCGCCTGATAATGCACAGGAGACGCTGGACTGGCTAGGTGGAATATGTAGCTGTACTTGTGTCGCAGCACCTCCTCTGGGTAAGGATAGCGAACGTCGTGCTGGACAAAGTGGAAGTTGTCCTTGCCGATGTGGTGGGCAGTGTTCTGCTTCCTACCCGTATACAAGTTGTCAACAACGACAACAATGTAACCCTCACGCATCGCACGGTCCACAACGTGACTGCCAAGAAAGCCGGAGCCGCCAGTGACAAGCACAGTTTTCCCCTTGTTCCCTTCTCCCGCTGTTGGAGGCATTATCACCCGTTTTGCAAGGGGAATATACGAAAAATAAATGTCGAATGGTTGCACCTACCTTTTTTTTGTTTGTTTGTAGAGTGAGAAGCCGAAGAAGTTGAGCTGTATGCGCCGCAGGCACTTGTGTAGGTGTGCGTGTGCACGCCTTCTTGGGCATGTGCAGCACAAGCCATGACCAGTGGCGCGTAGGTGGTATTTTTTTTTTTGTTTCTTCTCTGCCTTGGCGTGAGGCCCCGCAACAACAAAAACAACAACAAAAAGTCAGCACGGAGCTCTAAGAGGTATACACTGTATACATATACATATACATAGCGTATACGGGGAGAAAGAGACCTTCTAATAGCAGACAAAGGTTCTGCTTCTCGATATGGCACGCCTCATGCCTCTCTAACTGCTCGTTGTCATCTTCCCTCTTCTTCCCTCTGTTCTCCTTGTTTACTTCCCGAGATATTGGCACCTCATACCCCCACTCTGCGCTTTCTTTTTTTTTTTCCTTCTTCTTCACACACGTGCGTCCCGTGTTCTTTGTCCGTTCTCTCTTGTTCCCTCTTCTTGGGAAGATATATTGTGTACGTCATGCCTGCCAATCAACTCCCCCCGCCGTGCCCCTTCCCCGCTTCCACGTGCAGCACTGGAGAGGGAAGAGAAAAGGCGGAAGTGGTCAAAGACAAGAAAACAGAGGAAGAAGATGTTAACAGTAACAGGGGGGTGATCACCACCGTTACTTTGCAGACTCATCGTAATAGAAAAGGGAAAAAATACAGGCCAGGGGAGGGGCGAGTCACAATCTTTTTTTATATTGTTTATACACGTGCCTCTTGTGCGTTGCCTTGGGTAGCCTCTTGTTTCTCTCCCTGCCTAATATATACTTCCGTTACGATCGCTTCCTCCTTATTCTTTGATTCGCGCATGCAATACACTGCCCCTTCACCGGCATCACCATCATCAGCACCACAGTATCTGGGAGATATATGGGGCGCTGACCAAACATACAGGCCGGGAGGAGCAGCAAGAGAGAGGTGGGAGGGGGTACAGTTCACCAACACAGGAACAGCAACAGCTGCTGCTGCTGCTGCTGCTGCTTCCGCTTGTGATCGAGTCGACCGCAGCGCGACAGGAAGGGGTTCTGGTGCACACACAAGTCTACTTCTCTCGGTCCACGAGGGGGGAAGAGGGCGAGATGAGAGGCAGAACAACGAACAAACCACATACACAAACAAAAAAGTAATAATTAAAGGAAGGGGGAGAGGGGAAAGGTTGTCAAAGGAAAGGGGGGGTTGGAAAGACGGGGGAAGGGCATGAGTTTCCCCCCAGCGTCAGTCAGGGAGTTGCCGTCTCGCCCTTAGGCACCACCACAGATACATGGGCAGACACACCAGCACCCGGAGAAAGACATACACACACACACACATCGAGGCTCTCACCTGTGCGCATGGCCTTGTTGCCGTGGACGCCTTTACGGTGGCGATCTCCCCCCTCACTGCCTTCTTCCCGACCAGAGAAAACGAAGCCTCTCCGTCTTTATTGTGACCCTCCTCAGAGAGTTTCTCCCGGCATTGCTTTGTTTTCTTTTTTTTCTTCTTTTTTCTTTGGGGGGAAGGGAGTCTGTTTTGTCTCGTTCAGTTGGCTTCTCTCCCTTCGCCCCGCGTTCATCCCTTCATTACGTCACGCTCGCAGGCAAATTATTTCTTGTCATTTTCCGGCTTTGGCCGCACGACGTGCACGTGCGCACGCATTTATGCCAAGTGTGCACACACACACACACACACACACAGACAGACAGACATCTATATAAGCCAATCTTTCTCTTAATACGCGGTCGGTGTGTTGTTCTCCTCGTCATCCTCGCGCCGCCCGTTCTTCCTGCCGCCCCCCGACTCCCACGATTCGGGGCGCTTCTCCAGCACCACGAACGCAATGACGCCGACGCACTGCACGACGAAACCCGTAACGAGCAGCGCGAAACCGGCGTCGTATTTGGTGTTCATATGTGTGTACTTTCCACTACCGCAGAACTCCACGTGGTAGATGGATGCCACCACCGCCCACGGCACTGTGCACGAGGCGATGCTAAACACCGAGATGCCGACGATCCACCATTTAATGTCGGCGCCACCGATGCAGTACCAGCAGGCGATGAAATTCGCGACGAAGAAGGCCATGGAGAGTATGCTGCACGCCTCCCCGAACTCGAAGCGGTGACGCCGGGCGGTGCACGGGTCCCACTCAACGCGGTCGTCGTAGTTGGGGCTGTTGCACGGGCGCGTACCCCACAGTGTGTAGCAGCTGTACGGTGGGTCCTTCATCTTGAGCACGCCGAGCGGTGTGCCGATGACGACGAAGATTAAGGAGAGAACGCAGGCGAGAAGCAGCGTTGTTGCGCCAATGTGCCTGCTGTACGGCTTGTTGAAGAACGACTTTGACTTCGACATGCTTCAAAGCAGGATACCTTGAGAATGAGTGTAAATACTTCCCTTCTTGATAATATTGCTGCTGATTGGAGCTACGCGTGCGGGGAATATCCTGCGGTGTGTCCTGTGTGAAAACTGTTCGGGGTTCACAATGAAGTCGTGAGGGTGGGACCACAGATGCAACGATTGCCCTGGTCTCTTTTTTGCTGGCTTTTTTTTTATCGCGTGTGTGTATTTGTTAGTTAGTTGGGTGTTGCGGGAGAGGCAAGAGGAGGAGGAGGAGGAGAGAAGAACGTCAATGGCGCCACACGACTCACGCCGCACACAGATGCAGCGATGCGGCCGCCGCTCACATGCTGGCAAGCACACAGTCACACAGAGGGAGGTTCACACGAAAGAAAGGCTCTGAAACACCGCGTCAATCGATAACACGACTTCGTAGAAGATGTTCGTTTGGTGTATTACGATTTCTGCTGGGTCTCTTAGTTTATCATTGTGTGTTTTTTTTTCGCGTCATTCTAAATTTTTCTCTGTTATTTCTAGCCTCCGTCTTCCGCCTACGTTCTCCTCATGGCTGTGCGCTGAGCCCGCCCCACAGCCGCCACTGCCCATTTCACCTGCCCGCCACACACACACACACACACACATACACATATATCTTCTATCCACATGGCGCTTGGTGGCGCTGCTGCTGCTGCTGCTTCAGGTGTGCATCGCCGTCGTCGCGAAACGAACCGGTACAGCTGCTGCCACGATGGAGACGGCAGTGACCCAGACGAAGCACACCGAGCGGGCTGCAGAGAGCACACCCCAATGCTCGGGTGGGACTTTGTGAGCGCCGCCCTTCGCACCGTTACGGCAAAGAGCATAGAAGTCCACGCTCTGTTTGTCTGTGCATGTTGGTGCAGCTGCAGGGCGTGTATGCGTGTGTGTGTGGGTGGGTGGGTGTGCATATGGATATGTGTGTGCATGCGCGGAAGAAGGCGGCGCGGGCCCACCTGCCGCGCGTCCCGCCCCCAATCAGCAAGCAGGAACAAGTGGGTGGTGACGCGCGTGCACTCTTGCACGCCACCAGGAGAGCAGGATAAAAACAAAACAATGCAGATAAGATAATAATAAAGAAAGGAAGACGGAAATGACCCTCAATGCCATCTTGGTATCATCGTGGGCTATTTCGCCATACACTCCTTTCTTTTTCTTTTCTTTCTTTCTTTTTTTTCCCGTTTGCTCAGGCGCCAGACCACTTCAACGCGTCAGAGCACACCGAAGGAGGCAAAAGTAATTCGCAGCAGGGAGATACAAACCAAAAAAAAAAAAGAAATACAGACAAAAAACCGGAGAGAGGTGCATCATGCTGAATCAAGAGGAAAATAAAAAAGAGGAAAACAAACAAAAACAAAAAAAAAAACAAGAGTCTCTATCATCCTATTTTCTTCGTTATTCTTGTCTTTAAGCCAGAGAGACATATAGAGATTGTGTATATGCTCGCTTACCCGCGGTTCTAATCTGCTACCGCCGCCGCCGCAGCCCAAGCAACCAGCAACAACTGCAGCAGCAGCAGCCGGTCGAAAAAACATCGCACGTACTTTTGGGCGGCGCGGTCGAAGGAAACATGGTCCCCGCTTCGATTCCTATTGCTCCGGGACTCGGCCCTCCGCGGCCCCCTCCCCTCCCTCCCTCCCCACCCACACATGTACACTGCAGCGACAACATGTGTGGTCACCGAACAATTCGCACATTACAGAGATGAGGACAAATACGGAATCGAGCATACACAATAATGAAAAGAAACAGAGGGGAACTTTGTTTTTACGTTTTCATGGCACGAATTAATTATTTTAAGCTATGGGGGGGGGGGACATAGTTCTCTTTTTATTTTCTTTATTTTCGTTTTCTCTCCTTTGCAGTGGTCCCTCCCGTGATATATAGTGATCCGTTCATGTGGATTGCGTCTATATAAGCAGACGGCGGCATGCCCAGAAGATTAATTCAGGAGAATGAGACAGGCCGTACCGATCACCTGAATAGCCCAGCCGGAAACGAAGAGACCAAACCCGGCGCTGAACTTCCAGTTGGCTTTCCACGCGGCTTTGAAGGCTTCACCGCACATATTGCTATGGGGCACAGCGGCCATGCAGGCCCATGGAATCAGGACCGTGGCAACGCTCAAAAGGGCAGAAAGGACGGCGATCCAGTGCGTCGAGGACCCAGCAAGCTGCTTTACGACCGCAATGCCTGAAACAAGCACAACGAAGATGGAGATGATGGAGAACGCCTCAGCGGCCTGGAACACCTGACGGAGGCGGGTGTTGCCTTCTTCACACATCATGTCAGCAGGACGGAGCGTGTAGCCGTTCGTCTTGCAGTCGTTCTTCAGGCCCCAGAACGTGACGCACGACCCCTTCTGACCGGCACCAGTAACGGTGACACCCTTGCCCTTGAATTGCGCAATCGGTGTTGACACCACAACGAACACGAATGTGATGCAGACGCAAAGCAGGTAAATAGATGGGCCAACCTTGCCAGACAGAGCCTCAAAAGCCATTTTGTTTGGGTTTGTGGGTAGCGGTAAAAAATCTGAAGTTGAAAACGGGCTTTTTTTCTTTTTTTTTTCTTTGTTGTTGATTGATCGATAGGTGGAGATTGAAATGAAAGTGATGAATAAGAGAGACAGCATGATTGGAAACGCAACGGCTCACCCCTTCCACGCGCGATCTCACAGCAAGGACACTGTAGGAGACCAGAGATTCCAAGAATGAAGGAAAGAGATGATTCTTTTTTGTGTGTATGTGTGTAAAAGTGCGAGCAAGCCCCTCCCCCGAAAAAAAAGAAGAATCCACGAGTTGTACCTCAACTGCGCGTGACGTCATGGGAGAATCCTTACCGCTGTGTGCTCGTTTTCTTTGTCTGTGGTAAGCTCCCCGCCAGTGCGAGGTCAGCCAGCACGGCGTCGAAGGCCGCAGATGATGCAGGGGCGTGGCGCGGGAGGATCGCCTTGTGCACAACTTTAGCGACTGGACCCCCCACCCCGTCACTTTCACCATTACTGTTGCTGTTACTGTTATTCTCACTGCTGTCCGTCTGACCGTCGGCTGTCGTTATTGGCTCACCGGCCCCGGCAGAGGACGCCGTGAGACGAACGACAGTGGCGATGGAATTGTCCCAGTCACCCTCTCCGCCCGGCATGCCGGCGGCGGTGAAGCGCCGCTTCAACTTGGGCCAGCCGCGGAAGGCCATCATGTCCTTGTAGCGCAGCGGCTCACGGATGCCGTGGATGACGCCAGGCAGGGTGCGTACCCGAAGCACCACATCGCACGCTTCATTCACACAAAACGAAACCCAGCCAATACCGCAGACATACACATCAGCCTTTGGGTGGCGGCGGTGTCGAGGGTAGCACTCGAAGAGGTAGCTCTTCGACTCGGTCAGACGCAACTCCCCAAGTTGCTCGAGAGAGCCGGGAGGGTCAAGAGCCTTTCCAAGCTGCTCCTGCCAGAAATCGTCAGAGCGTTCAGTGTTAATGATGGCACTGCGAACCTTCTGCGATGTGTACACCATGAAAAGCATTCCACGTGATGTTCCTTTCACGACGTCGATTGCAGCAAGACCGCCGAGCAAAAGTGTATTTCCAGGCACAAGAATAAAGCACTGTGGATTGCGATAACTTCGAATGAGTGTACGGCGCATTTGCAGGAGTGTCAATGGAGAATTACGGTGCCAATGTGGGAGAAGGCCGGGAGTGTCGAACAGGTAGGCTGATTCACCTGAAGCACCCTTTGTTAACGACACACGCACTGCGTTCGCCTCTACAGTTGTTCCTGGAAGAGATGATACGGTGAGCAGCTTCGATGCTTTCTTGTCATGGCGTGATGGAATGTCAATCATTTCAGCTTGATTCACGTTGGGTGGGGTGTGCCAGCGCCAAAAAACTGACTCTGATCCATCGCTGGACTTTTTAGTGTAATACACCTTGCGGCTCTCCGGGTGTGGTGGAAGCGGGACGTATAACTTGTGGGCAATGGCATTAATTACGGAAGACTTGCCGACGTTCGCCACACCAACAAAGTAAGTCGGCATGGGTTTTATCGGGCGGGTAAGATTTAGATTCGACGTCTCCTCTACCGCAGCAATGAGCGCCTCAATATTCCATCCCCGTTTCGCAGAAATGGGAATGACGCTCCTTATTTGGTGGCGCGGCAAGCCAAACTGCACGGCGATGTCAGTCACCCACCGGCGCACGTACCGCTCTGTCACGAGGCGGCTGGCGATGGCTCTATCTTTGCCCGTATAGTTGAAGGAACGGTTACGAATACAGTCCATCTTATTCACCACGATGATGACATCATTGTTCATTGATATGAGCCCTGGCAGGTCGTACACCATCGAACCAGGGAAGTCGGTGATGTCGACTACGAGCACTACCACGCATTTCTTCTCTCGCAGGGCGCGCAACTTCTCTGTGAAGTCGGGCGCCGACCACACACGCCGCCGCCCCTCCACGCCGAGATTCTCCAGTGCGTGACAGCGGTGGCAAACGAAGGGCGCGCTGCGGTCCTTGTAGAAGGCGTCGAACTCCTCCTGTGTCATGAAGTCTAGCCACTCCTCGCCGACATGGCGGCCGTGCTTCTGCCAGTGGGCCTGCAGCTCAGACATACGGTCGGCGTACGCCGCCCGGGCCTTCATCTTTTGCTGCCGGTCAATAATGTACCGCTCAACATCACCTTTGCGGACATAGCCGAACGCATTTTCATCCTTGTCCTGGAGGAGTGCCCCGCAGCCCTGGCAGCAGTCTCTGTTCACAAACGGGATGCGGAAGGAAGACGGATGATCAATCACAATTGAACTCTTGCTCTCGCGCACCTCTTCCATGGCGGCACTTGGATCTTGGTCCAGCACGTGCATGCCTTCCCAATCCAGGAACTTACGCTCAAAGCGCTCCCCAGCAATCTCCAACTGGTGCTCAATTGCGAACTTATCCTTTTCGTAACTGTCCAATAGCACGCCATATTTCATCTTATCAGCGAGTTTACCATATTTCCGTCTCAGAAGCGGTGCATCCTTCTGCATCTGTTGCTGTTCTTGGTTTTGTTTTTGTGTTGGTTCCGAACTTTCGACTTGGCTGGTGGCAAGTGATGCCCCCTCCGACTCAATGTCGACAATCTCCTCAGACCATCCCATGATTTTGTGAAACAGGCGGTTAATGTGGCGGGGAAGTAATATAGACTCCGCCGCCTCACGCCTGCTTCGGCGGAACTGCTGCAGGTGCAAAGGAATAGGGCCTTCCTCGTATGTATTCACCTTCTCCACGTTCAGCTCCAATGCCTTACCGAAGGGTAGTCTGGCGAGTGGTGCGGGTGGAGACGCCAACGGTGCATCTAGGCTCTTCTCATGTCCAGCCGCAGACTCTCCGTTGTAAGTAACCGCATTGGTGGTGCTTTCTGGCAGTGCCGCCATGCCAGGAGCAGCAACAGCAGCAGAAGTGCCCGCACGTACGTCACGGATGCCAAGTGGTGGGCGTGCAACGAGGTCCCCCACTGCGCCGTCCTCTGTGCTCGACGAAACTTCAATCTGCCCACCAGACACTGCACTGCGGTTTCGCCATGGCTTCGACGCACGTGGCGAGCGCAGCTTCTTCACAAAGTCCCTGCGACTGTAGCCCAAAGGTGGTGCCCTCATCTTAAGAAGAATGCGGCTGCAGTACAGCATTGGAGGCCCCTTTAGTCCCTCCTTATGCGTTTGTGATTATTCGTTTAGGCGAGAGGTGCAGAGTCCTCTCTGGGGCAGAGAGAAGAGAGCAGATGAAGGGCAGCAGAGGTGCAAAAGGCACTTCCATCCAAGCGGCACAATAGGGCGACAGTGAAGAAAAAAAAAAGAGTGTTCATCTTATGAGATTCTTTCCTTCCTCTTTTCATTTTTTTTTGTTTGTTGCTTCATCCATTTAAAAATGGTAAAGATGAGGCTCCATGTTCTTCTCATTTTTTTTTTCCTGCATTGCTCGTTTGCCACCACACCAACTCACCCCAGCAACTGTGATCGCATCCGCCGCGCCAGGCCCAGCTCTTTTCTTCGGCACCTTCCCTCTTGCGCTGCCTCAATGCTGCTGCTGCTGCTGCTGCTGCCGCTGCCCCGCATTCATTTCAGCCACGTATACCTGCGCCGCCTCGCGAAGCTGCGCTTCCTCCTTCTGTAGCTGCTCTGCAACCCGCTGCTTCTCGTTGGAGAGGCGCCGCTCCTCCGCCTCGCAGCTCTCCGACTGCTCCGTCTGCTTTGCTATGAGAGTATTCACGGGTGCGCGCAGAAACACGCGACCGACGCTCTCGTACACGCAGTGGTCGGCCGACAGGCGCGTCAACTCTCGCGTTGAGATTCCGAGGCGCCGCTTCGTCCCCACCAGAGTCACTTGGCGGTTGGCCATCACTCGCACTGTCTCACGCAGCCGGTCCACCCGCTGCTGTGCCTCCATCAGCGCCTTCTCCCGCTCCATCCGCTCTGCCTCTACAAGTGCGGTCATTCTTGCCTTTATGCTCTCACCTTAGTCCGCTCTTTTCTTTTCTTTTTGTTTTATGTCTGTGACCCTGTGGTTGGTTTGTTGTTTCCTTTGCAGTTGTTGATCCGAGATGGAAACAGGGGGAAAAAGCACCCATATTATATA